TGATTTGCTTTTCAGAGTACAAAAAGATGGCCTCTTCACTCTGAAATCTATTTATCTGGGCTTCACATTGCTTTAATTCTTTGTAGGAGGGCAGAAGACCCTGTTGCGGACCCTTCCACAAAAAGACACACTCAGGAATCCTGTGGGTCAGGAAAGCCTTGCTGCTGGGTTTGCGGCTGGGCAACACTAACATGGAGGTGCAGTTTATGAGAGCTCCTTCTTCCACATGGGAGCTTTAAACTAATCCAGAATATGGCAGCTAGACTGGTGACTAGGAGTGGCTGCAGAGACCACATAACACTGGTCTTGAAAGACCTACACTGGCTCCCAGTACATTTCTGAGCATAATTCAAAGTGTTGGTGCTGACCTTTAAAGCCCTAAACAGCCTTGGTCCAGTATACCTGAAGGAGTATCTCCACCCTCATCATTCTGCCCGGACACTGAGGTCTAGCGCCAAGGGCAGCCTGGCGGTTCCCTTGCTGCGAGAAGCCAAGTTACAGGGAACCAGGCAGAGGGCCTTCTTGGTAGTGGCACCCGCCCTGTGGAACGCCCTCCCACCAGTTGTCAAAGAGAAAAACAACTACCAGACTTTTAGAAGACACCTGAAGGCAGCCCTGCTTAGGGAAGCGTTTAATGTTTAATAGACTGTTGTATTTTAATATTCTGTTGGAAGCCGGCCAGAGTGGCTGGGGAAACCCAGCCAGATGGGTGGGGTATAAATAATAAATTATTATTATTATTATTATTATTATTAGGAGCCATTTCCAGGTCAAGAGCCACTCAGATTCCTACCACAGAGGTACAATTCCTAGAGCTCCCTGCGTAGAGGGATTGATTGATAAACCACTCTGAGAATTGTAGCTCTGTGAGGGGAATAGTTGGTCTCCTGACAACTCTCAGCACTGTTGACAAACCACAGTTCCCAGGAAGCCTTGACTGCTAGTGCTTTCCTAGTGCTTTGAATGTAAAGTGCACATGTGGCCTTTGACACTGGGGGGGGCGGGGAGTAGCTGAGGAAGACAGGTGGTTGTAGGACAGTATTGGCACGGAAGACTATATTCTAGGATTTCATATTACAGACCCGGGATAGTGTTAAAATGTCTGTCGTGAGGGAAGTGAACTCAGACCAGTAGCATCTTTTTTTGCCTTCAAAGGTAATATATGGCTGGAGACCCATGATACAGGCCTTCTGGTTTTAAGATCTCTCTTTATAAGGCCTGATGCCATAGTTTAGAAAAATGTAATCCTTCCCAAATATAAATCACAGTTTGAGCTATCACTGAACAAATGTGGTCGAGGAGAAAGAGGAGAGAGTGGGGAACTCAAGTCCTGAGATAAACATCTATCTGTATGATAGTTCCAGTAGAAGTATCAGAGGAAGCATCTTTTTAATTTACTTGTTAGGCTTTTATTTTATTTTTTTACCTCCCCTTCACCCTAAGGTACAAAAGTTCACAAAAACAATTATTTAATTAACTACACCACAAATGTTCAGTTTCCATTGCTCTGTAGAAGGTAGTGGCCACATCTTACACACCACTTGAAAGACCTGGGCAAAGAGACATGTTTTGACTTGCCAGTGAAAAATCAGCAGGGATGGCACCAGATGATCATGGTGGCTCAATGTGAGCGCAATGGCAGGGGAGTTGGCAAGTCTAGTGAAAAGGGGCACAGCTCCTAGTATTACAGATTTTCCCACCTCCCTGCCAATCAGTGGCATAGCGTGGAGGGGGTACCACAGGTTGCCCTGAGTGCAAAATTTGAACACCTGGTGCTGGCGCAATACAACAGTGGGGCTATGAGTCCTCAAGCTAACATTATAAGCGTTGTGGCCAGTTAGGAATCTCCCTAGTCAGAAACCAACACTCTTCTCATGACATTTTCAGTGCATGATAAACAAGAAGGAAGAGGAGCTACTGCAAAGATAGAGACCCTAATTGCTTTTGTTTGCTCCTGATACTGACAGAAGGATAAGCGATATTGCAATCTCTTCTCATTTAGTTCCTCATGTGTACACACACACACACACACACACACACACACACACACACACTGCTTACCAATGGTCTATACCAACAGATTTTCAATATTTGATTTCGATAGTACTTAAATTGAAGCACCCCAGGCTACCTGAAATTGTAGCATTAAACCAAGCTGCCAATGTGAAATATGTCATCATGCATACAATGAGATTGAGGAAAAATATAAAAAGCAATATCATTTTTGCATATAAAAATTCCATTGTATTCCAATTTAAGGTGGGTTGGATATATATATGTATATATATATATCTCACAAGTCCAATTACAGTAGTTTATGAAATTAGATAAGAAAAAGAGAGAGAAGGGTGATGAGTGCTTATGTAGATGCAATGTTAATGTTGTTGTTTTTTGCTTTGTTTTTTGCCTGATCTAATGTCAAGCTTCATTGCACATCAAACTATATTGTAGACAAGAAATGACGGAGGCCTGGACTTAACCAAGGCTGAGCTCAAAAATACAGGAAAGGAGCCTGAATGTGTCTTCATTGGTCATCTAATACTGAAATTTAAAGATCTACTAGTTCCTTTCCTACACTGTTATGTGGGCTTCAGAGGGCACACACACACAGAGAGAGAGAGGGAGAGAGGGAGGGAGGGAGAGAGAGAGACTGCCTTTTAGATTAGGGAAAGGAGAGTTGTGGCCCTCCAGATGTTGCATAACTACAGCTCCCATCATCCCTGACCATTGACCATGTTGGCTGGGCTTGAAGTCCAGCCATATCTGGAGTGCCACAGATTTCTCGCTTTAAGCTGTACATTTAAGATGTGTTAAGTGTGCACATGAAAATGGGACATGAACAACTGCAGGCAAAATTGTTTTGTTGTTGTTGTTTTTGCAAATTATCGAGTCCTACAGATAAAAGGGTCATGCACAGCAGCAGCAGCAATATGCATTCACTGAAAATGTGAGGGAGAAGCACCACTGAGCCCATTGGTCACGTCTCCAAATGTCAATGTGCAACGGCCATTCCCTTCCCCAGTATGACATGTGTACACCATAAAAAGGACCCCCACACGTGTTCCTCACAATTGGGAACCCTGGGCCAATCGCAGTTCCTGATCCAAAGATCCTGATCCCACTACTCCTTCATATGTTTATTGTACTGATGGTGGGATACATTTGAAAACCATCATACCCATTTGGAACTCAGGGCCCCCCATCGAGTGATGTTGTGATGGCAAATGCAAGTTTCTCCATAATCTTTGAGGAGGCCCCCAGTAAGATTTTCGCCAGCAAATGTCACATTCCTCACTACCCTCAGAATGTCCCATAAAAATTTATGGTGGTTATTCCTTTTATAATGTGCTGGATATTTTTTTTTGGGGGGGGGGTGAGGACAAAGCTTGTGCTCCCTCTCAGCTAGACAATATACCACTCATGCATTCATAACTTGGGGAACTGATGTCCCACCTCTTTAAAAAAACACGTTCACAGCAGATTGTAATCTTCAGCTAAATGTGATCAGAACAATGGAAGAACTAGAGTCGGTGTTTTGACATTAGGCATGCAATGGATGGGCAACTTCATTATTCCCCAGCCCACTCTACTTGCCAGCAGCCTAAGGACAAGAAATGGTCAGGTACATAATCACATTGGATCCACCCACCGGTACTTGTTGCAGAGTTATGAAGCCCATGTGTTCAAGCTACTGCACAGCAAATGAACACAACACAGCAATTCTACTCTAGATAGCAGGATAGAGAGGGAGAGAGGAGAGAGCTATGGAAATTACTCGTAGTATAAAAAATGGGGGTTATCACTGTGTCCCTCTTTTTGACTGTGAACTGCTGGTGTGCTTCAGCCACTGGTTTTTCTATGTGGTTCAAGTTGATCCACAATAATTTTCAGAAATTAAGCAGTAAAATAATGCTGTTCTACATTAGCTTTAATATTCCTACCTTATCTATCTCTATCATCTATCTCTATCTCTATCATCTATCTATCTATCATCTATCTATCTATCATCTATCTATCTATCTATCATCTATCTATCTATCTATATCTATCTATCATCTATCTATCATCTGTCTATCTATCTAATCTATCATCATCATTATTATCTATCTATCTATCATCTATCTATCTATCTATATCTATCAATATCTATCTATCAATCATCATCATCATCATTATTATCTGTCTATCTATCTATCTGTCTATCTATCTATCTATCTATCTATCTATCTATCTATCTATCTATCATCTATTTATCTATCATCTATCATCTCTCTCTCTCATCTATATATCTGTCATCTATCCATATGTATATCTATAGATCTATATCTATATCTCTATTCAAATCGCAAGGCAGCTGAGGTGACGTGAATGTTTCATGCAAAGAGCTCCCCCACATCCTCAGTGCCATGAGTGTAGTTAATCTTGGAGTCATCTGCATAACACCATAATGAACAGCAATAGTTCATAATGACCATAATGAGTACTAACAGGTGAACATGTCAAATATATTGAAGCTGGGGACCGTCCTCTGTGGGACCACCAAGTCTCAAAGTTGTTGTTTCTGGCAAAGGCAGCACAATGGAAACTGCACCTTCTGGAAGCATTTTAAATGGCACATCACTCATCCGGGGAGCATGTTTGATTGTTCAGCTGCACCTCTGACATCCCACTTGTTAAAAGGTGAGATTTGTCGGGGGGATTTTAAAATGAAGGAGCCGTTCTGATTTTGAATTTGGCATGATGGAGATGAAGTAGCAAACACAATAAACTCTTTTAAGAAAAACCAGTCGGACAATTGCTGATATTCTTGGGACAAACTACTGGATTATGGAATTAGAGGCCAAATGGCATGCACCTTGGCATGAACACAATTATGTATTTTCTCCATCTGTAACCCAATTATGCATGTATGGTCATGAGTCAGTCCATTGGTCCATTGTGCCCAGTAGTGCTTACACTGACCATCCAGGGTTTCAGATGGGGTCTCTCCTTGTCAGACCTGGAGATGATGGGGATTGAACCTAGGACCTTCTGCATGCAAAGCAGATGCCCTACCACTGAGCTACAGCCCTCCCCCAATCTGTGTTTTCCACCAAAGACACTATATTTTTATTGAGTTTTCTGTGTGAGCTTTTTCAAAATACCTCACAGGTGATCAAAGATCACTACCTCCCCATTCTCCTGCTCCCCACAGACAGCACAGATATGTACCAAAGACCTGTCAAACAGGTTTTATATTTACTGGGCAGCCATGGGATGTGGTGGGTCTCATGTTTGCACAACTCCTTTTCCTGCCCTCTTCTTCCCCAGCATGGCCCGAAGAAGCAGTTGAGAAGCTTTCATTTCCAATTTTGATTAACCACAGTTCACTATGCCATCAGGACCCAGAAGAACATAAGAAAAGCCCTGCAGGATCAGACCAGTGGCCCATCTAGTCCAACACCCTGTTCTCCCACTGGCCAGCCAGATTCCCAATAGAAGCTCTTGAATGCAACAGCATTCTTCCCACTTGTCATTCCCAGCAACGGGCATTCAGAGGTATGCTCTGTCTACAGTGGAAGTAGAACATAGTCATTGTGGCTAGTAGCTGTTAGAATTCCTGCTCCATGATTGCAGTCATAGGACTGTTGTCTATCACATGACAGTATATGTTCTGACTCCACAGAGTGGGAAGTGACGGAGACAGGATGTTTGTGTTACTGTGTTCCGTGAAGTGGGACTATTGTCTTTTGTTCTTTCTCTTTGCTGTCTGATGCTAGAGAGAGAGGGAGCCATGCTGCAGTGCTCCGTGTGTGTTTATATGTAAATAAAGTAGATTAGCTAAAATGCTAAGTTGCTGAGGTCTGTCATGCAAACTGTGAACACTATACGGATCCCTAAGTGTGCCGATGTCTGTTGGCATCGGTCGCTGTGATGTTCGGGCAGAAGAAAGCTTTTGAAGCTCCCAAACGATCAACCAGGAGGGAGAGAACAAGCCAGTCAGGCATGTGTCTCTGCCAGAGTCCTACTCGAGTGTAGGACGAGCTCCTGACAGTCTCCCGTTCCATGAATTCATCTAATCCTTTTTGAACCTAGAACTGTGGTTCATCTTAATCAGTGTTTCCCAAACTTGGGTCTCCAGCTGGTTTTGGACTACAAATCCTATCACCCCTGACCACTGATCCTGCTGGTTAGGAATGATGGGATTTGTAGTCCAAAAACAGCAGGAGACCCAAGTTTGGGAACCCCTGATCTTAACTATGGTTAAATTAAAGGAGCCAGCTTCATCAACTCTGGTTTGAGCTTGACTTGTTTCAGAATAACTTTAGGGGAGGAAAAGTAGGAGTCAGCGAACCAAAGGCCCAATGCAGTTCATTCCTACCATGTTAACCTATGGTTTATTGTGCTGTCTGAACATAGCCATTGTGTCTGATTATTGGTCTACTCTGCCTGCTGTGCTACATTCCATCTGTTTAAAGATGCTATTCTTGGTATGCTTAGTCTCTAGGGGGGAAAGTAGGACATCTGTTCAACAACCCTTCTCCATGTCTTCTAGTTTATTTGTCTCTTTTAGCATCACTAACAGCATGGCCCTTTGCAGGTTTTTTCACAAAGAAGTTCCATCGAGTTCTACGATGCCACCTGTCTAGAATGTGTGCATAGGCTCTGTTTTTTATTAGTGGTACTAAGATAAGGCACGCAAAAATACCTGAGGCAGATCTACAGCTGAAACACGTGGGGCATTCTTCATAAAATAAGTTACCGTTTCCTAGCATACTTTTGCCAATGCAGGAAATATGCTGCAAATAGGTTCCCTGATAGGTAGTCAGTCCATCTACTCAGGGAGCCATAGACCATGGGTAGGCAAACTAAGCCCCGGGGGCTGTATCTGGCCCAATCGCCTTCTCAATCCAGCCCACAGATAGTCCCAGAATCAACGTGTTTTTACATGAGTAGAATGTGTCCTTTTATTTCAAATGCATCTCTGGGTTATTTGTGGGGCCTAGGAATTCGTTCATATTTTTTCCCCAAAATATAGTCCAGCCCACCACATGGTCTGAGGGACGGTGGACCGGCCCATGGCTGAAAATGATTGCTGACCCTCACTCTAGCCTATCCTGTTCCATTTTGTGCCTAGTTTTGCCTCGCAGATAAATGCCCTTCACGCCTGTGTTCTGAAGTGGTATAGTCCATTCTGCTGCCTCCGTCTCATTCTGCTGCCAGGCTTTGCACGGACCATGCGGAACAATGTAAGGTGTTTTCCAAAATGCCTCGGAACCTAATGGTTAGGGGTCCCTTTACCTTATAATACATGGGTAGGCAAACTTAGGCCCGGGGGCAGGATCCGGCCCAATTGTCTTCTAAATCTGGCCCGTGGATGGTCCTGGAATCAGCATGTTTTTACATGAGTAGAATGTGTCCTTTTATTTCAAATGCATCTCTGGGTTATTTCTGGGGAAAAGGAATTTGTTCATTATTTCCCCCCCCCAAAAAAATATAATCTGCCCCCCACAAGGTCTGAGGGACAGTGGACCAGCCCCCTGCTGAAAAGTTTGCTGACCCCTGCCATAGACAATCAGCAATTAGTCATGAACCGTCCTCCTTCTCTTCTAGGTTCCATATCATTGTAGATGATCACTACTGCTAGAATGAGGAGGAAAAGAGCATTTCTCTATGATTTGCAAAACATTTGCTATCACATACTCCTTCTCTTAATGGACCTAGGAGGAGAAGGAGGAGTTTGGATTTGATATCCCAATTTATCACCACCCTAAGGAATCTCAAAGCGGCTAACAATCTCCTTTCCCTTCCTCTCCCACACCAAACACTCTGTGAGGTGAGTGAGGCTGAGAGACGTCAGAGAAGTATGACTAGCCCAAGGTCACCCAGCAGCTGAATGTGGAGGAGCGGAGACATGAACCCAGTTCACCAGATTACAAGTCCACTGCTCTTAACCACTACGCCATGCTAGAAGTTTCCCTAGCACCTATTCTCTTCAATGTTTTCTTTCTCAGGCCTCCTATACACCACCATCAGGGTGTGTGAACTTAGACATTATATAGAGGCAGGGCCAGATGCATAAGCCTTTCTTGGCCAATTAGCACCCTGTTGGGGATTATACCACAGGGAAGAAATTTTGTAGAAATTGAGCAGAAAGCAAGTAGTGCAGCAGTTCCCAACTGGCCAGTGAAGAAGGGGCATCTTCGGAGACCAAGGGCTATTCCGATCTATAGTATATTGAGCTGTAGTTCCTGCTCAATGTACTATAAAGCTCAGTCTTTTGTAGCAGCTGCACCTTATTCAGCTCATCTTTGACAGCTTGCAATATTAACACCATCCCAAGCTGGTTGTTGAGCACATAGGACATTAAAATTTGATGAAATAAACCAATCGCCTCTGAGCTGGCTGTAATAAGATAATGAGCAGGTCTATGCATTGGGATATGTGGTGTGACTAGCAGAAGGAAGGGGAGAAAAGAATGAGTGAGAACGCAACTCTTCAGAGGAACAGTGCTAATTCCTTGTTGTTGTTGTTGTTTAGTCATTTAGTTGTGTCTGACTCTTCATGACCCCATAGACCAGAGCACGCCAGGTACTCCTGTCTTTCACTGCCTCCCGCAGTTTGGTCAAACTCATGCTGGTAGCTTCGAGAACACTGTCCAACCATCTCGTCCTCTGTCATTGCCTTCTCCTTGTGCCCTCCATCTTTCCCAACATCAGGGTCTTTTCCAGGGAGTCTTCTCTTCTCATGATGTGGCCAAAGTATTGGAGCCTCAGCTTCAGGATCTGTCCTTCCAGTGAGCACTCAGGGCTGATTTCCTTCAGAATGGATAGGTTTGATCTTCTTGCAGTCCATGGGACTCTCAAGTGTCTCCTCCAGCACCATAATTCAAAAGCATCAATTCTTTAGCAATCAGCCTTCTTTATGGTCCAGCTCTCACTTCCATACATCACTAAGGTCCTACTTAGGAGCAATTCCCATGTGAGGAAAAGTTGCCACAATTGGGGCTTTTTAGTTTAGAGAAAATGCAGATCTGGTAGAGTTTCCATTTAGTTGGGATACCTAGACTTACCCTCCATGGGATTGTCTAATCTCCTTTATGAAGCTGTCCAGACCAGTGGCCATCAGCACCTCTTAATGGCAGCAACAAAGTCCATAGGTCCATTATGCGAAGTGCATCCTTTTGGTCTGCCCTAAATCGGCTGCCAAATAATTTCTGTGGGTGACCTCAATTTCTAGTGTTGCGTGAGAGGGAGAAAATGTCTTTCTGTACACCTGGAATAGCCCATGTGGTGCCAGTAGACATGACTGGGCTATACCTCCCACCATCCCCAGACATTGGAGGGGGGCACAATATTGGTTACACTAAGCAGAGCCTTATAAATCTCTTATCACACCACCCCCTCATAATTTATCCTCATCAAGAAGGTGGTCCATCCTGTTGATCATTTGCTGCAGCTCATATGACTGGATCGTTCACATGCCATTAGAACATCCTATGGACAAAATGGTTAAAATGTTAACTCCTACTTGCAATGCTTAATTCCTGGCCAGTTTTCTTTCTTTTTGTAAATAAAAAGAACCAGAATCAGATATACTCAATCACAGTGGAATCCATATAGCAGGCTCAAGCCAGCTGGCTCTGACTGACAAAGGAGTAATGTTTGATGTCTGCTCTTCTTTCTTCTCTTGATGCATCTCATTTGAACTTGACAGGCTGGGGAGGTTTTGTTTACTTATTTATTTTTTTAAAGACGAACCACGCGCAACTCTTTGTGTATTAATAAAGTAAACAGTTTCTATTCTGGAGCACAGAGAGAATTTTTAATTTTATTTCTGGTTCCCCAGGATGGAAATTAATCAGGGTGATGCTGCCCTATTTCATATCTCTTCTTTCTACATGCTAAGGAGGATGGTGTAAAGGGGCTTGAGAGAGCACGGCTTCATTTCCCTCTGGTCCTCAGCCTCAGGGGGACGAAGGAAGTTAACTGTCAGAACCTGACACAGAGAGTATTTGGGACCAGCACTCTTCAGGAACCCTGTTCAGATGCCCATTCTGTGGGCATTAAATGCATGGAGATCAGAGTGAGTCTGTGGCAACTGATCTTACCTTGGCCTTTGTGTTTTGCAGCAGAATCTTCAAACGCAGCCTATGCACATGCTACGTATAAAATAAGCTTGCTGGTTGTTCAGAGTCTGTATACCTGAAACTGTAGTTGAGTGGCTCATCTGATTGCACAGTGGGTGTGAATTGCGATTCCACTCTCCCCTCCACTTGGGTTCATGGAATCATCAGCTCAGTAGGACCAGGTTGGTCCTTAGAGGTCAAATTGTTTTCCCCACCATTCATCAGGTAGTCTCCCACTTCTTCTCTTATCTGCCTGTTTTCCATGACAATTTGGATTCTAAGGCCACATGTCGGTGTGGTGTAGTGGTTAAGAGAGGTAGTCTTGTAATCTGGTGAACCGGGTTCGCTTCCCCGCTCCTCCACATGCAGCTGCTGGGTGACTGCTTGGGCTAGTCACACTTCTCTGAAGTCTCTCAGCCCCACTCACCTCACAGAGTGTTTATTGTGGAGGAGGAAGGGAAAGGAGAATGTTAGCCTCTTTGAGACTCCTTCGGGTAGTGATAAAGCAGGATATCAAATCCAAACTCTTCTTCTTCACCTTGAAACCCCCACCCTTCATCAGTCCATTTTTGTATCCCTCTTTGTCTGATTCACTGTTGTCTGTCCACAGCCTCCAAATTCTTTTGGCTGGAGATGAAACTAGGGAGAGTTCCCAGACTTTCTGCTTTGCCTGATGGTCCCACTTTGCCTTCTTCCTTGGATTCTCCACATGGGATTAGTGATATTCACCTTGATATAATTGCACCTTCTCACAATTGCAAACGCTACTCAGATGAGCAGAGAACTGAACAAAGAGAGGCCATACAAGCTTGTTGAGAAACTCCCTCTCCAAACAACCAAGTCCACCCTGAAATTTACTTCCAATTTGAAACCTGACACAATGTGTTGATCCTCGGTTTTTATTTTGATCTACTAATACTTCCATTTCTTATGTCCTGAATAATAGTTTGCCTGCCATGTTTGCAATGAAGCCTCTCCATATATATAACTAAGGTATTGTTTCCAACTTTCTTTCCCCACTTTATTCTCAACCACTAATTTTTTAAAAAAGTGAACAAAGGTGGATAGTCTCCTGCAGACATTGAAACAATTTGTCC